GGAGCGAGGAACAATAAGCCAGACAGAACAATGAGGATGGGTCACAAAATAGAATTCTTCATCTGAAAAGGGCAGAAATTTTGTCCATTCCAACATGCATGAGATAAGAACACATACACTCATCATGCTGTATTTTACTTCCATCTCTCATCTGCTTTGTGTGGGTAGAAGGCTGGAAATGGAAACCATTTCAAAAAATAGAAAAAGTAAAGTTAGCAAGAACTCACTTCAAAAATGCTAAGAATTAGCCAAGACTTGAAAAATAGGAGTCATAATTCTATCACAGAGGTTCACAATGATTTAATTAAAAATAATTCAATTCAATTTAGGTTTCTGCATAAATTAAAAGTGATTCAAAATACACAAATACCATCAAGATACTTTCCTCCAAATGTGCCCTATTGTGGAGAAGGATTTTTCTCTGCCTTCCCAGAAATGTGGATGAAGCATGGTCTACAATGTGTTAAGGTTACAAACTAACATAGATTCTCTGCCCTCAAGGAATTGGAAACTGCTAATACTTACTGCACACCTATTATGTGGGAGATCTGCTCAAGGAGTGTTACATAAATTGCAATTATTCTTATAATGTGATAGCAATTATTATCCCCTAAGGCCAACAGAGGTCAAGATTTTTACTCAAAGACATAGAGTGTTTGAGCTCGAATTCACACTCAAAATCCCTTTGCCCACAAAGCCAAAGTTCTTTCCATGGAATCATGCTAGGTCCAATCTCGTACTGGGATAACACGGAGGTGGACATGAAAATATATCCTCCCATCTAACGGTCTCTCCAGGTAATTATTATAATTATTATAAACTTCAGATGGTCTCGGAGCTCCTTGAGGGCGCACATCAGTTCTCATTCATTCCTGCAGAATTCACATTTGTGTTGAATGAAAGAAATAATTCCACTAAGAATAGAAGAGCTCATTGCTAACAGAACCTTAAGTTCGTAACTTTCCAAGTGAGGAAACTTTATCATATTTCTCCTTTTATAGGACAACCAGAGACACTGGCATTGAATTGATACCATGTGATACAAACAAGTGTGTGTCCGAGAAGTCTCTCTCACCTGCTGTCTGGAGTTGAGACTCTTAGGTGATTCTCCTTAAATAGAAGGGCTTGAATCGAGTTATCACATCCAGTTTCTGAATCACCATCACCACCACCACCACCATCATCCTCACCATCCTCACCATCCTCACCACCACCACCACATTCAGCAGCATTATCACGCCACAGCATTCTTGCCATCACTACTGCCACTGGGCACATTCTACAGGTCAGACCCTTAGCTAAACCTCCTGCATTCATCATCTCATTTAACAATCTCATGAGTTCATACAATTATTTATCCTATTTTAAGACAAAGTTAGTCCCAGAGAAGTGAAGTTACATACACAAGATCATATAGGTGGTAAAGAAATAGAATAAATAGAAATAGGTAAAATAAATAGAAATAGGTAAAAATATTTTGCCACTCTCAATGGCCTAAGTTTGGGAAGATTTGCTAAGCTCTGAGACTCTCCAGGCTCACCATCCTCCATGACGTGACTAGGAGATCCAGTGGCTCCACCATGCCTAGGTGAGGCTGGCACACTTGCAGAGGCACAGAAAGAGAATGGTAGGCATCCCCTACAGAGACTTCTCATCGCCTCAATCTAGAAGGGACCTACCTGATTATACTACTTCTGTGGCCCAAACTAGTAAAGGCCCACTTATTTGCAAAGAGGCTTGGAAGTATTGTCTCTGGCATGTTCAAGAAGGAAAGAAGAAATATACATAGATGAGCACTAGAAAATTCTACCATAAGTAGGGACTCCAAAGGCCTCTTGGTCCCTAGGAAGACCTACATCTGCCGTGAGTATTAGATTTGGTCTCATGAGCCTATCTAACAGGGGAGGGGGGTGCATTAACATATGTGTACCTCCACCCTGTGCTCACATCCTTACAAGCCCACTTGTTTGTGTTCACACCCCAACATCACCGTAACACCAGACAGGCACCACTGTCCCGGGATGATTTATAGATGAGGAAATTAAGGTTCAAAGGGATAAGGTAACTTTACCAAGCCAGAGCTGAGACCCAGAGCAGCAGGTTTCTACCTCCAAAATCAAATGCCAGCAAGATCACAGCATAATTATATTCACCCATTTGTTACCTTGCAAAATGCTTTCAAATATGTTCTGGATTTTGCATTCATAACAGTCCTATGAGGTTGGTAGGAAGGCCCCTATTTCACAGGTAAGGACGCTGGAGCTCAGCAAGGTTAAGTACATTATCTGAGCAGTTATGGAGCCAAGTCCAAGTCATTGGGCAGAGATGAATCAACCTCGAGGCAAGAGTTTCAGGACCAGGAGCGTGAAAGGCAGTAGGCCCCCAACCCTTCTGGCAGCCCAATCCCTGGGGGGAGAAAAGGCAAGAGAAATTCCAGCCCTTACAGAGTTCATGCTCTTAAACACTTATAAAAGCTTTAAGATCCAGACAAAATCCAGACCTAAGTGCAAAGGTTACTGGAGTTGGGGTTTTATTACCAGATGTAAATCCATCTTCTCTAAGACCTGCTCCAGGTCCCTTGTGCTTTACTTGAAATATTTCATGTGTGCTGAATGGATTTGTTGGCTCCCTGTTACCTTCGTAAATTATGAAGTCTAACATTCTTAGGGCCTAGATCCAGCAAGAGTAGCTGGAACTGCACCCTTTCAAGCCCCGGATGGAGGACAGCTTTGCTTCATTCTTGGGGGTACCCCTGATTTACTCTTTCTGAGGATTAGCAAATGATGACCCATCATTTTGAATAGGGGGGTTGTTACCTGGCTCAAAACAGGTCCCCCCGCAAACCCTCAGGCCCAAGTTTGGAACATAACCCTCACCATTGCATAGTCACAGCTGATTGGTCCAACTACAAAGATACAGGGCCAAAAATGAACCAATCAGGTTTTTTCTCTCAAGAATATGACTTTTAATAAAAGGGGAGTAGAGATTGGACGTCAAGCTCCGTCACGGCAGCCGCCTAGAGAGACAGTCCCCAGCCACTTGCTGAGACTTCTGGATCTCCAACTCTCCCTTTCATCCTATTGTGCTTTTCTCTTTTTGTTCCTCTCAGCAGAGCCAATGACCATCTGTTGCAGCAACCAGAAGAATCTTGACTAAGTCTGTGTTAACTGTCACCCCCCCTCAAGACAGAGATGCATCCTCTTCAACCTCCCCGCCAACCATGACCTACATGTCTGAATTTCTCTCCAAACTCATCTACTTTCTTCTGGAAATGTCCAGAATGGTCCAGTCAAGTGGGCGGGATGGGAAGAAGTTGGGAGTGTGTACCTAGGCAAGGGTTAGCATTCTAGAACATGCTGCATCTCATCAGCACGCATATGCTTGACACTGCTAGAACGCATGGCCACTACGGAGAGATTCAGCGGCCCCAACACCCTTCTCAGGCTGCCGCACCTCCTACCCTGGCCCGATCCCATCCATTTTCCCCTCTAGCCAACTGGCATGATCCCCAAATATCTCATGCCACAGCTTTGCATCAGTTCTTTCCTCTTCTACCTGGAATGCCTCCTTCTCTTTCCTCTCTGATGAAAAGCCCACGTTGTCTGTCACAGTCAGATTTTGTCCTGCACATGGCTCTAAGCACAATTAGTTAAGATTAGTTACCCGCATCACCGTCCTTTCTGCTCAATCTCCCTCCTTGCCCAAAACACATTGTATTATTATTATCTAATATTTCATGTCTATGCCCCCCATTGGACTCATTGTTATTTAAATACCTCTTCCTTCATAGAACTAATGCCACCAAATTAACTGTAATAAGCCTCTGGACAAAGAGGAATTCTGGCTTGTTTCTTTTTTTAATTCATTTTTTTTCTTAGTGCCTAAAACAAGAGATGCGACGGAAGGCCAAGAGCTGGCCAAGATTCAGTTCTTTAACGCGGAAGCGGATGGATGGTAAATGCCACCCCAAGAGTGAGCCTGAAGATAGCAGAGGGAAAAGTGTCCCAGGTGGGTGAGCACGGGGTGGGAGAGAAGTTTAACAAAGGGAAAGTGAAGCCAAGCTCTGCAGACACCCTTTGAGCCTGCTTCTGTGTGGGCACAAATCCGTTTAGACACAGTCCCCAGCAAGGGAGCTCAGAAAGTGCCCCATGGACATTAAGAGAAAAAATATTGATCTCCTCCACAGTGAGAAACACTGCAGAGGGGTCAGAGGGAACGCTGGGTGCATGCTGGGGAAATGAACAAGCAGATTGGAAGTGGATAGAAGGATACTCCTATATGAAATAGCTAACTTTTCTGACGAGCTACAATGTCCTCAGTGTTCCAGGGAGTGTTTTATGTGCGTCCATAGTCATTTATTAAATCATCAGAGGAGACCTGTACCGTAGCCTTATTACATCCATCTTACTGATGGGGAAATTGACAAACAGGGGCTGAGAAACTTGCTCGAGGTAACTTGGTTGGTAAGAGTCACTGTACAGGCTGCCAACACACCTTATAGATACTCCCTAAATCCAGAGGCCACGTGCTCAACTGTCAGAGTGTGTGTGTGTGTGTGTGTGTGTGTGTGTGTGTGTGTGTGTGTGTGCGCGCGCGCGCGCGCACGCGCACACTCGGGCAGAGGGGTTGCATATATAGCTTATATTTATATGGCTTATATTAACTGTTCTGGAAGGCAGCCAAGGAACTGTTAAGAGCCCGAACCTCTGAGAATGGGGATGAAATAATCAGATCACTTATTTGTCTCTTTGCACCCCCACACGACACTGGCTCAGGAATTCATTCAGCTGTAAGTAATAGAAAACCCAATTAACAGAGACTTAAACAAAACCAGTTTATTTGTCTGACATAACCAGAAGTCCAGGGGTAGAGGCTTATTGACTCCCCGATAACAGGGCCACTGTCATGCAATTACCGGGGCCCCACACTCAAAGTGACGCCCCTTTCTGGTTTTCTGTTTCCCTCCATGGTGTTGTCGTCACCCCCCATCTCTGTCTTACCTGCATGCCTGGCTTATTGTCTGCTGTCTGCTCTAGAATGTCAGCTCTGTGACAAGGAGGACTTGATTCTGTTCACAGCTGGAACCCAGCACCTCAGACTCCTCCTGGGGACCAGTAAGTGTTCAATCAGCATCTAATGAAAGGGTGAATGAAGGGATCATTGTAGGGGTGAGTGTGCTGCTGCTTCAAGCTTCATGTCCACACCCAAGACTCAAAAGGGACACGTTGGGCCCCGCTGGTGGCTCAGGGGTTAGAGACAGCGCTATCAAGCTATTGCCAACCACCGCAGCACGAGTTTGATCCCCAGCCAGGGAGATACCCACATGGTGCAGCAGACCTCTCCTGGCTCGCCCGCTGCTCCCCTCAGCAGTGTATTTCATCAGTCTGCCTGTTCTATTCCCCTCTCTATCTCTGGTGAATCCTCTTGCCTCCCTGCACCTCTGGCCTGTACCCAGTTCTTGAATGCATAAATAAATAAATCTTTTAAAAAGGGGGGGGTGGAAATGTGTCACCACTCCCTCTGTCCTCTTTTGCACGAAAATAAATGCTTTCCCAATATCCTCCACACAGATTTCTAAGTCTTAGTAGCCAGAATTGGATCATGTGGCATAATTCTCTCCCCCCATAGCAGAAAGGGATAGAAACCAGGGGTAGGTGGCCGTGACCACACAGGGCCCCCTGACATCATCCGGATGTGCTTGGCCAGGAAGAAGCAGGGAGTGGATGTCAGATGTACACTCAATCGAATCACCCACAGCTAGTTTGGTATTTTACCATCTGCATGTCCTGCTTTTATATTTTTTCATGACTACAGGTATCTGGGTCCCGCTGGCTTGGCTTGTGCATTTCTTAAAGGTGCTCAAAATATTTTGATGCACCATCACGACAAAAAGAACTTTCCAGAAAGTCCACACTTAAATGTAGAAGAGGGTTTTAGGGTCCTTGGAAAGGCAGGTGATCTGTCTCTCGTGAAGCGGGAGTCCAGGAGGGTGCTGCTGATCTTGGAGCTCGAGCTGTCCATTTTGCCGATGAGTAAACTGAGGTTCCCAGAGGGGAAGAGACGTGTCCCCAGCAATTGATCCTGTGCTGACTTCCAAACCAACGCTCTGCTCCCTTTAGCGCCCGATGGCTTTATTCTCCATCAACAAGTGTTTACAGCCTGGAGCGGGACCCACCTGTTAGTCACATTTAACTTCTACAGAGAAACAACCAAGTATCCATTTTCCCTTTCTTCGTTAACTGCATAATCTGGAGTAATAAATTAGTCCCCAAACCAAAAGATGCCCTTACTCCCCACACAGCTATTCCATATCCCTGTGGTGTTTATAAAGTAAAAGGACTTTTAGTGGTTAATGTCCACTGTCAGCCTTCCTCTTTCTCCATGTATAAATTTATATTTCATAATTATAGTTGCAGGGTTTCCCTCTGCTCTGCCCCTGCCCTCAAGCTGGAGAGTGACACAGGAAACGGTTTATGTTCTCCGATCTACGCTGACAGTCTAATCCCGCCATGTATTTCATGCTGTCTCCTTCAAGTTCCTTTTCTCCCAGTCGGAGATAGATGCTGCGTCCAGTGGCCCCATCTCTGCAGACCCCAAGCAGCGTTCTCCTGGAGCAGCCTGGCACCCTGTTTTGAAAGATGGCAGCGTTAGGGAAGAGGGTTTCAGAAATGCAGGCAGGAGACCCACGCCAGCTTCCTGCTAGCAGATTGTGTACTGCTAAAATGCCTCGCGCTCAAGCATCATGCCCTCGTGTGCTGCAAACCTGAAAAACCAGAAAGCAGAGGCCCCTGGGACTTTAAAACTGCTAGGATAGATCCAACCACGAAACCAAAGTGAAAGAGCAAGGTGTCAGCCAGAGGTTCAGGGGGTGAGAGGATTCACCAGAGAGAGTGGGGAGCAGAACAGGCAGATCTACTGAAATACACTGCTGAGAAAAAAAAGAAGAAAGAGCAAGGTGTCACCTTCCCAGGATGGGAGAGCTGCCAGCTGCCTCCCAAAGTCCCTCTGGAGCCCCCAGGGCAGACTTCCCCGCTGTCTTGCAAAAGGTCTTGAAGCCCATAAGAGGAGGAGGCACCAATCAGAGACCCAGTGGCTCCCTGGCTGTCTCCAAAGCCAATGCGACCTGAGCCAGTGGCTCCAACCCCCTGAACTTCCCTCGCTCACGCAACAATTGAGGAAGAAAACCTCACCCTGTTTACCCCAGGGTGACTGGGGCGGTGGGAGGGAGAGATGTTTTCCAGGTCGCAGGGAATGTGGGTAGGTTTTAAGCAACCGGGGGACAGATACCCTAAAATTCTAACCCAGCTATACTCCCACTCCCTCATGTCAGCTAACAGTTAGGTGACTTTCCTAGCCATTTGGACCTGACGAGACCTTAGTCACCCATTGCGGGGAATTTGAAAAACATCAGCTGAGTATGGCGGTATTGGGAATGTTTGCAGCCATGATACTTGTTTTCATTTCAATGCAGATCAAAATGAAAACATTTGGTGCTGCATGGACAGAAGGGGTAGGAGAAGCCTACCTTGTGATAGGTAGAAGCCAAGGGCCTTGCATCAACGACATGTCAAATGAGGGGTTTCATTCTGGAAACAGCGTCCTCTCGGCAATGAAGTACCTAATTTGAAACCAGCAGCTTGAGGCCCAACTCCAGATTTCCAGCAGGAGCTGCATGCAGGGCAAGCTCAGCTCTTGTAGCGCCAGCTTGTCTAGGATGAACCGAGTCTGCTCTCAGGTACATACAATAACTGTCAACCCAGCGGGGGCAGAGACTTTTCACTGTCTTGCTGACCACGAAACCCCCAGCCTTGCAGTTGACTTTAACAACAAGACTTCTGTCAGCGTTGGGGACGGAAGGCACGAGGGTCACATAAACAGTGCTTAACCTCCTGCCCGGGGTCTTGTGAGCAGTCAGGAAGCATGAGGCCACTTTCCCAAATGATTCTCATCTGGGTGTGTGACTCCAGGATGACTCACGAGAATGCAGTTCACACGAGGGCGGAGCGCTTGTCACATCCTGTGCTGAAATCCCTCACCTCCTACATCCGCGGTGGCACTGACTTTTTTTATTGAAACTATCATTTTGTATTGGGGTAACATCGATGTACAATACTGGATATGATTTAGGGGTACAGGTTCACACCATTTCAGCCCCACCAAAGCCCCCACCATCTTCCACCATATTCCCTCGGGCGCCCCCCCCCCACCCCGTCTCCTGGCAACTTCAATTCCGCTGTCGGATTTCTAGGGTTTGTTTTGATTTAGTTTTCTCAGTTCCTTTGTTTTGTTTCTTTCTTTTCCGCATATGCGTGAAATCAGCCGCTATTTGTCTTTCTCCCTTTGACTTATTTTGCTTTGCATCTCCTCCTCTGTCCCACCATGTTGTCCCAAATCAAGCCATACCAAGCAGCCACTCACTAAACACTAATGAATTAACATGGACAGGCTGCCGGCTACTGAAGAAGGGCCAGCACCCCCAGATTCTGTAATGTCCTCCTCACTGCCTCTTACTGTATGTGCATGAAAGATACTCGAGCACACTGAGTCCCAGCACCGAGGGCCCAGGAGGGCTCAGAAACATCCCAATGTGCCAGTAACCCCGAATGTGCTGGGGCCCACGACTCCAGAGTAAAAGAAAATCATCTATTGTCCCTGAAACTCTTCCTGTAGACAGGATTCCAACACAAAATCACATTAGAAAATACTCACTAAAATTCTGCCACCTCTGTCACTATGAAAAATGTCACGGAAGGGGATTTTTCTTATAAAACAGCATCATGCAAAAGTAATCAGTGCTGGAAAACTCAAAGACAGATGAAGAAAGCAGGAGGAACAGATCCAATCGCTCTGGTTTTATGAATAGACTATTTCACCACCCCACTCATTTGTAAGACCCTCCTGAGATTCTTTTTTACAGCGGGTTATGAATCATCTTCATGGTATCTTTAAATGGATGATCAATACTATATTTTCCCATAAAATGTTTGGTTTGAAATCCGATTTTAAGTGCATTAGAGTTTTTGTGCACCGAATGGGTGAATGCCATAATAAATTGTCATCAAATATGAAAGAAATATAGCATAGATTAATTGCTGCATTTATTTATGAGTCTATAAAATACCTTGTGAAAGTCCTGGCACATTTTTGGGATACCAATTTGAACCTTCAGGAAAGTTAAAAGCATTAAAAGAGACGGCAAGGAGATTTATTATCAGAGTGTTTTTAATTGCCGACCCAAGCAGACACGTGGGTATGAGAACAGCTCTGCCCTTAATGGGCATGTCCCACGTGTTTCGCTCTCTTTTTTCTTTAAAAATGATATACTTCCCATATTTTTATTGATTTGTTAACATTTGCCATAAATAACCGTGGCTGGCACATGACATCCCAAATGGTCCCAGCTCCCCTAAGTAGTGGGTGCCGGGTGGCACTAACGCAGGCTCCTGGCCAGGTCTCAGGCTGCATTTGCAGAGTAAGAGAATCCCCAGTGAGAAGGAATATGGGTAGAATGGCACTAATAAGATAAAAATGTATAGGACTTGCAGCTGCTCATATTTTAATTGCAGCCTTAATGTCTGTGACGGTGAAATCCTTTAAGGGGAAGAAGGACAAAAATATCTTCCTTATAAACTGCCTGTCAGCAGTGCTCTGGTTAGAGCAGAAACACAGTGGCCTGCTGGGGCGCCAGCCAGCACCCCTCAGTTTCCTCTCCCATTTGCTGAGGCCAGGATTCTCTTCCTGATGGCACACTAAGATCACTTCAGGAACTGACATCTTACTTACCCCAGTGATAAGTCCGTTAAGGTGTTTTTCCTTGCATGCATTTCTCGACCCAAGATTTAAGGTTCCAAAACTGTTCCCTGGCTTTCAAATCTAGACTTCTGTAGTCTACTTTGCATTTCAAAATCTTGAAAACGCATCCCATGCCTTGAGTTTTTATCCCTAGAAAGATGTCACCATCCACAGGGTCAAATAATCAAGGATATTTATCAAACATTTTTTTATTTCATAACATAAAAACCTCTTTGTAAATAAGATGATAAAGCACCAAGCCCCCCAGTCTACTGAGGCTAAAGCAGAGACTTTAAAAAATTCCTCTTCCTGAAAATAGTTACTAACTAAATTCCAATCACTGGTTTCTATGCCAGTGTAGATATATAGACATAATCTTGGCTGGAAGTTTTAAAAGAGGTTTTTAGGGGGGAATGTAGTGTTTGCTCTTTACCTGCCTGTCAGTCGCGGCCAGGCCTGCTAGCTGTTTTCCATCTTCATTAACGATCCACATTAGATTTCTAAAATTCCCAAATGATGACATAAGCCCTCTCATCACACAGGTTGTTATAAAAGCATGTAGTGGAGACCCTGAACTGGCGTGTGAGCAGCGGCGTCTCTTTAGAAATGTTCTCTGTAAATTACAGTGTCATTGCAAGGCACTAAATGTGAATTTTCTCTGCGCAACTGGAGTTAGCAACGTCTCCCGGCTGTGTCTGGCTTTATCTGTGCTTGAAATATGGTTTCGTGGAAAGACCCAAAGTCAAGAGGTCTGGATTCTAGTCCCTCCTCTGTCACCTGCTAGGTTATGTGATCTTACATTTACTTCTCACCTCCCCAACTCCCTTATCATGAGCTTTCCTTATCATAAGATGAAGAGGTGTGTAGGAAAGCTCTCAAGCACGCTGTGAATGCAAAGGAATTTTATGACTAACAAGCTCTCTTTTTTAAGTCTAAGCTCAGGTTTGTACCTAGCTGGCTAACACACTGGGATCTCTGCAGTCTCCTTTTTTGCTTTATCCCACAGAAGTTAATTCTTTCTTTCTATTTGCCACATTCTTCACAAGCCACATCAACACCCTCATCTGGGAATTATTGCCTTTTTATTTCCCCCTCGTGATGCCAGAGTTGCTGCTGACAATATGTATTCAGGCAAGCCAGGGGCCCGCTGCTTTTCACGATCAGATGCCATGCACACTACTTCCGTCAAAACAATTAGTGTTCATTTTGGCTTTACTCGGGAAGACCTGCAGTGGCTGATCAGTATAAATTATAGATGCATCTGTCCAGATGCACTTGTTCATTCATGCATAGATTTGAGGAAATATCATTCTTGCCGGCTCCAAAACAGTCACTTTAAAAATCCATACTTAAAAAAAATATATAATTTAGCACGTTTTCAGGGAAGCTATCATGCCCCGGGCTCACACATTCCCTCTGTGATGTGAAGCACTAAAGTTGACTTGGGGGCGTTTCTGGTTAGTCCCCCCAACACCTGTAAAATCTGGTGTCTTTGTAAATCATTATGAAATGATGAGTGTTTGACCCGAAATAATGAAATGGGATTTATTTTCCATTAAAAAAAAATTGTGGTTCCTGCGTTCCAGCTTATGGTCAAAGACACAGCCCTCCCTCTGCCTACACAGGCCCGTCCCTGCTTTGAAAGCAACATGAACTTCAAATAAATAATGAGGAATTGTACTCTCTCTGCTCCAAACAGGCCTTTGATTATTTATCTTGTTTCATATTTGCCTTAATGAGCAGCTAGAGGAAATATCAGGGCATGTTGCATTAAGCAAGCAAAGATTCTACAAGGTTTGTTTTCGATATTTTAGGTGACCTGACTCCCTTCAATGTAACTGGAAGGTCTGTAGTTGACAGGTTTGCTTACTTGTTTGGACAAAATGTGGTGCCTACACATACACCAGTGGGCATTTTCCCTGAAATTAATTAATCAGCGCTGAACAAAGACTTGAAAAGCCAGCCTGGTGGAGAAGCACACTCGGGTGCTGTTCACAGTCAAGAGGAGGCGAGCGGATTCCAGGCGGCGTTCCCGAACCAGACTTCCTTTCACCTGAGCTTTCTGCCAGAAAAGAGGGTGATCTCCATTGAACCCACTGGCTTTGTTTTGTTCTGAGGGTCCCAAACTAACGGGAAGAGTAGACACAGTTCATAGGAACCCTTTTTTTTTTTGGTGGGGGTGGGGGTGGGGGGGCTGCCAATACTCAGTCGTGATCACCAAACATCAAACATAGGAGCACAGAGTAAGTTTGCTGTCGCTACAGCCTCCCTGGGAAAGAAATGTTGAATCAAGGACTCCAGCGTCTGGAAAAAAGGAGATGGGAGAGGATAGGCCCCTTCCCGGGGAGAACATTCTGATACCATAAAGTCACTTGGAAGCCACTAGAAAGATGCCTTCCCATGGTACCTGGGCTCTCTCCACTGTCCTGCCTCCCAGTTCACTTCCCCACTGTTGTTCACCCTCTTTTCTTTTTTCTTTTGAAAAATCTTGTTGCTTTTCTCTAATCCTAGAGAGCAAAGAGGGAGGCCTGGAGGCCCAGCACAGCACCGATACCGCAGAGGTCTTATAAATCAGCTAGAAATCAATAAAGTCTATATGGTGGTTTCTCCTTTGCAACCGGATCGCCAGGGGACAGAAGTAATGCTTTTTCTTCACCACCATCCCCATTTTTCTGTCATAAAAACAATTCTGCTTAGGAACGGATGGGCAATCAAAGTTGCTGAGTAAGTATTTCAACGATCTAATTTTATTACTTTACAATTGACATACCTTCCCTCTGGAAATGTTTGCAATTAATTAATTAGCAGTAATCTTCCCCAAGGGATTAATTGAATGAATTCTCTCCCATTCTTACTTTTAAAAATAGCTTAGATGTATCCAAACTGCAAATGTGTGGATGGCTCCAAAGTGCATTTGGAAAAAATCAAGGGATCTATCTATTAGGGTGAATTTTTATCACTAAATCAATCTCGTGATAACTATAATTCTTTTTCTAACTAGGCAAGGTTTCTCCAAGGTAAAGACAGCAGCAGCTGCCGCGGAGACCGACAGCCCTGGCTGGATTTGCTAATATTTAGAATGAGGTTGAAGACAACATTAACAGGAGTTAACAGTCTCTCAGGTGGAGGAGCCTGCGGTTTGCAGCTTCTTTAAACGCCTTGGCTTTCTGCAGACTCTGTAAAGAAAATTAAGCTGGAAAATAAAGCTGTTCTCAAGAGTCGCTGACTTTCAGGCCTACCTAATCCCTCTGTAAGGTGGGGGCAGACGCAGACTCTCTGCCTGTGATCCCAGGCCAGGCCCCCAGCTCTTGCCCTGCCCCTGAACTTCCTCGTGGCTCCTCAAAAACCCAGGGAGAGCCCCGGGATGTTGCTAACCTCTGGGCCACACGCTCCTGCCTTTCAACTAGAAAATGAAACAGCCCTCCCAGATTCCTCAAGGGAGGGTGGTGAAGACCCCCGCCCAGGGACAGAGGTTTAATAAACTGTAAGGCGCTGTCACCTCGTGAATGAAAAGCTAAAGGTTTTCTGAGGTTCCTGGTGTGCAATCCCCAAAGGCCACGTTCCCCTCGCATCCCAGCAGCTGTGCCAAAAACCGCCCGGGCCAGTCTAGCGGCCCCTTCCCGCCCCCAGACATCCCGGGGTAGAGGCCTGGGCAGGAGCATGAGGGGTGCTGAGCCTACAACGCGAGCGAAGTGGCGGCCGCCTGGAGGACGCCACCCCGGTGCCCGCACAGCGCGCCTCTGAGCGCCCCTGGGTGGAGAGGGGGTAGTCAGGCCGCTGGGCCCCGCCGGGCGTCCGGGCATCCGGGCGGTAGGCACGGCCTGGGTTGCCCTCCCCGCGCGCTAACCGCGGCTCGCCAGCGCCACCCTCCGCGGAGCGCAGCGCGTGCAGCCGGCCCCGCGTCTCCCTTCTGCGCCCCGGCTCGCGCGTGGACACAGACGGCGGCGCGCTGGAGCCGGCGGGGGCGAGCCCTCGGGAGAGGGCCCAGGGGGCTTAGCCCGGGCTCCCTAGATGCCAGCGGCCAGTCTCGGCGCGTCTCCAGGCAGATGTGCACGAAGACCCGAGCCTCGGCCTCGGGGGGGCGCTACTCGGCCTGTTAGGGGGCCAAGCCGCCGCGGAGACGCCTCCGGGTCCAGGCCCTGCAAAGACCGGGGCTTGGGGAGCTGGAATCTAGCTAGAGCCCTGGGGGGCCTGGGACAGATCCCCGAGGACAAAGACGGGCGAGCCAGTGGGCCCCGCCGACGCCTCCGGGAGCTGCCCGAGCGCGCGCGGCCTGTGGCGCAAACAAAGTTTCCTGCGGCGCAGGGCGGGGGCGTCCGAGGGGAGGCTTGTCCCCCGAGCCTCTGCTCTCCACCTGCCAGCAGTCAACCCCCGCCCAGCCCTCGCCCACCCTCGCTCCCTCCCCTCCCCCGCGCGCCTCTCTCCACTCCGACTCCACATCTCTCTCCTCGCCCCCTCCTTCTCCCTCTTGCCTCGCTCCCTACTTTTCTCCTCTTTTTTCCTCCAGCCTCTTCTTTTGTATTCTCTCCTCCCTCGCCTCCTGGCTTGCTTCTACCCTCCTCCGGGCCGCAGGGGAGGAGGTGAGCGCGCTGAGCCCCGGGCCTGCACGGCGCAGAGGGAGGTGTTTCTCCTGCTACTCCCGGGTAATTTGGAGAGCTTGGATGCACGCGCGCGCGTGCCAGATAAAGACGGGTCGGACCCAGCGCCGAGCAGAGAGAGAGGGTCGGGGTCTTTGACGTTTCTCTCCAGCTGCACAAACCTCCCCGAGCAAGTGTGAGCGCGGGGGAGAGCGCGCGCGCGCACGGGCTGGCTGCGCTGGGCGCGCTCGGTGGCCCGGGGTCCCAGGGCCCGGGGGCCCGCCTGGCCCGGGATTACCGTGACGTCACATTGAGCCTCTGGCCACCTCGGACCGGGACGCCTCGGGAACCGCTCCGCCCGGCGCTGCGCCTCACCTGGCCTCGCCACCGCGCGTCCCGCACCCTCTCTCTCCCGCCCATCCATGGGCCCTTCTGTCTTCCGGACCACGCGGGCCAGAGGGGCGCCTTCTGGAGCGCAGGGCTCGGCAGCCGAGCTGCCTTCGGCTCTGCCTCCAGCCGCGCGCAGCGGGCGGAGGATCCGGCGCTGGGCACCCGCGGCCGTGTAAGGAATCCAGGCGGTGCGCGGCTGACGGTGCGGAACCTCCGGGCTGAGGCGGGAACTCACAAAAGAGGGAGGCGGGCTAGGGACAGCCACCATGTCCTTCCCGCACTTTGGACACCCCTACGGCAGCGCTTCCCAGGTAAGAGGCGCCTCCATAGGGGGTGGGGGCAGTTGGCTTGGAGGGGTGCCCAGCGCTAGTGCCTGTCCCTGAGCGCCCCCCTCCCGCGGGAGCCCCCGGGGAAGCCAGAGGGCACAGGGAACAGGACCACTGTGCCCCAGGCCCTTGCAACATCCCACTTCCCCAGTGTGGCCCGAAACGTGGGCACCCTGGCCACGCGCTCAGCCAGGGGGGTGAGAGAGCGCGCAGGGGTCTTGCAGACAGGCCTCCTCATTGTGCAGGTGTGCACGGTGGCCCTGGGCAATCTGGACTAAAGGACTCCCAGCCCAGAGCGCTGTCCAGCTGACCATTGCTCTGTGGCTGATGGTTTGTTCCCCTCTGGACTTAGCCCCTTTTCTTGGGTTGGCTCAAGCTCTCTGTTTCTGGCTTCTGTGGTTTCCCACACCAGAGGGGGTGTTGCGTAATGACGAGGGTTTCCTGGGGGTGCGCTGGGGACACCGCCACTCTTCTCCAGTTGCCAGACCAGCGTGACCTCTGACCTGCACTGTGAACCCCCGCAAACCTGCGCTCACTGGCCCTGGTTCCCTGTCTCCATAAAGGAAGGCGGAGTGACACTTGATGGTGGTCTCTAAGGCCAACTCCAAGCTCTGCCAGTGTCGCCTCCTGTGGCGAGGGTGGGGGCCAAGGGGAAGCTGGCTTCTGTAATGGGGGCTCTAGAAGGTTCCTATCCCTGGGGTCCGCTGGGGCTCTGGCGTCTTGGCAATGGTTTAGGAGCATCTACAAGGGAGGTTTGGATAAATTGCATCTTGGAATAATTCCCGTCCGGGACCCAGAAGAACGCTGCGCACACGCTGGCCTTCGGTTAATGGTGCGGGAAGGAAAGACCCGCCTGAGCTGTGGGTCTCTGACCTCCAGCGCCCCCTCTCTCGCCCCTGCAGTTCCTGGTGTCTGCAAGTTCCAGCGCCACTTGCTGCGAATCCGCCCAGCGCTCGGTTCCAGACGTGGCCACAGGCTCCACCCCGGCGGCCGCTCTCTGCTGCGCGCCCTACGAGAGTCGGCTGCTGAGCAATCCTCGGCCTGAGCTAGGAGCGGCCCTGGGCATCTACGGAGCCCCCTATGCGGCCGCGGCAGCTGCCCAGAGCTACCCCGGCTACCTCCCCTACAGCCCCGAGCCGCCCTCGCTGTACGGAGCGCTGGTGAGTGCGCGGGGTGGGGCCTGGGTGTGTGCGCGCGGCCTGGAGGCTTGGTGGCAGCTCCTTGAAGTCTCTCTCCAGAGAAAAGCCTAGGAAGGATGCACAGCTCCGAGGAAGAGAAATGGACTGTGTTTAAGGGGGTGGGGGGAATTACAGTATTTTACAGTTTGCAAAACTCTATACTATTTAGAAAACCTGGCACCTCCATTCTGTGAGGTAGGCAAGTTAGCGCTTTCCTCAGCTTACATAGGAAATTGAGGTGCTAATGCAAAGTCAAAAAGGGGCAAAATGTGAGGAAATACTCTGGGAGGAAAGCCAGGCAGGGAAATTCTCCACTGAAGTAACATTAACAACGGCTAATGTTTAACCACTGCTTATTCTGCACCAGGGATCTGCCAAGAGGGGAAACTGAGGCACAGAGTGCCCCCCCCACTGTGCCCAAGATGGCACAGCCAATGCAAGTGCTGGTACTAAGATTTGAGCCAGACTTGACTGCAGAGCCCACACCCTCAGCCACTTCCTGCCCCCTCCACCCCAGATACCATCCTGAATTCTCCCTCCCTCCCCTACCAGAATCCACAGTATGAATTTAAAGAGGCTGCAGGGAATTTTACATCCAGCTTGGCACAAGCAGGAGCCTATTATCCCTACGAGCCCACTCTGGGGCAGTACCAGTATGACAGGTAAGGAATGGGTGGCGTGGGAGGCTGGCATCTCGGGCCTGTTCCCTGCCCCTGTTAAGGTATGACTGATGAGCATGAGGGGGTGCATGGAGGGCAGAGGGGTGCCCTGGGAGGAAGAGGAGCCAAGCCTGGGGCCAGACTGTCTCCTGCCTCCACCACAAGATCCCAGCCCCAGACCTGTGAGCCAGGTCCCCCTCCCAACCCCCCCAACCCACCCCCCAGGTACGGAGCTGTGGAGTTGAGCTGCGCGGGGCGCAGGAAGAACGCCACGCGGGAGACCACCAGCACGCTCAAGGCCTGGCTCAACGAGCACCGCAAGAACCCCTACCCCACCAAGGGCGAGAAGATCATGCTGGCCATCATCACCAAGATGACCCTCACCCAGGTGTCCACCTGGTTCGCCAACGCGCGCCGGCGCCTCAAGAAGGAGAACAAGATGACGTGGGCGCCCAAGAACAAAGGCGGAGAGGACAGGAAGACAGAGGGTGGCGCAGAGGACTCCCCGGGCAGCCTGGGCCCAGACGCCAAAGGTAGCCGAGATGTCCGCCAGCTCACCTTCCGGCGTCCCGGCCGCAGGGCAGTTTGCATAGGCTTTCACAGCCACCCTGTGGAGTAGCTTCCCAAAGGAGGAAGCTGCTCCCTTATTTGCCGGGCATTTGCACCCCCCTGCGTGCCTCGGGCCTTCACCTGTGAGGTTCCCTCTGCCCGAATTCCCTGCGGAACTGACCTCTCAACTTTAGAGTCACATCAGAGAAGTTTCCCCAGGCCCCCCAAGCCACACAGCTTTCCAGCATTCTCTGTCACGCCTGCATGTCCTTTGTCATCTTACCTGTCACCTACAGGAAGTGCAGGACCACTGTCCCCCCACACACTCAATGTCAGCTCCTCTAGAAACGTCTCCTTAGCTGCTGATGCCTGGCCCACAGTTGCCCTCATTTCTTTGCTGAATAATACACACCACTCATCTTGTGGGTGTGGACAGGGTAAAAAGTGCCCCTTGCTTTTTTTACAATTTTGGAATGAGAATGCAGATTCAGGGCAGCAGAGTGGCTGGCCCTGGAAATGCACCTGACGACAAGTCTTTCCAGGGGTGGGGTCAGGGCTGGAGGCGGGAATTCTTTCCCTCCGGCAAGCCCCAGCTTAGGGGTGAGCGCAAGCGAGGGGGGGGTGGCCAGGGGGTGGCCAGCCTGGTGGACAACACCTAGAACACCAGGAGCGCGGGCGCATCTTGCTAAAAGCTTCTGGGGGCTGCGCGCGCCTGCGGATTTCCCTTGGGACCTGGGGCTTTTCTCACTCGCTTCTGGTTTCCTGCAGACATTACCGCCGGCCAAGAGGCGCGAGGGCTCCGGCTGAGTGACCTGGAAGACGTGGACGAAGAGGAGGAGGAGGAGGAAGAAGCCGAGGACGAGGCGGCCGTGCCCGCAGCCCGGGACCGGCTGGCGGAGTTCCACAAGGACACGCGGGCGCCCCTGGCGCCGTGCGCTGCGGCTCGAGAGCGCGGGCTGGAGCGCAGGGGGTGCGGCCTTGAGGCGCCCCGCTTCTCGTTTCATGAACCTCCCGGCGCGGGAGAAACTGATTTCCTCCAGGTGGAGCCCGGGGGCGCGAGGCAGACCATGCACTATGCGTCCAGCGGGAAACCCCGCTTCTGGTCTCTGGCGCACACCGCGGCCGCGCGCGCTCTCCAGGGCGCACCTCCGACCCCGCCCAGGCCGCCCAGCCCCGAGGGCCACCTGCTTCCGAGTCCGCCAGGGTCGGCCGCGCGACCAAGGGTGCGCAGAGACTCCACGTGCGAAGAGCCCTCCAGTGTAGCCAAAGGCTTTGGAAACTCCATGTCTGCCCTGCGGGGGCTGCCGCTGAACTGTGCGCCCTGCTCGCGGCGGAGGGAGCCCGCAGTGCAGTGCCAGTACCCGTCTGGAGCAGAAGGTAGTGGCCCCCAGCAGCCCTGGCAGGGTCTGACCCAGAACCACCTGGCCACCGGGCTGCCCACCTCTGCACACCCTCTCTGCCCCCTCCTGGCATGCCCAAGTTCAGACCTGGTGTAAAATTGGCCCCTAGCACTGGCAGAACGAAAACGGAGCTAAGTCGAGTGCATATTAAAGTGAAATGATGGTAATAGGCTGAGAATGAGACAGTAACCCACCTAGAGCCCCTTAGAAACCCACGGAAGACATGGACCACTAATCTCCATACTGGTGCCCAGTGTCCTGCCAGGTGAGCTCCACCAGGACCCCCTGGCAGAGGCATCCCCTGTGCCCCGCCTGTCCTTCACAAGAGGCCAGCTGGTCCCTGCTGTGCTTGGATCAAGAGTTTGTTAGGGTCAGGCAGGGGCATCGAGGCTTCCAGAAAAGTCTGCAGGTGCTGGCCAGACACACCACTCACTTAAGGCCCAGCTCCCGGGCATCTCTGCGGCCACCAAGCCCCGAGGGAGTGTACAGCAGACTTGGTGCTGTCCCCAGAGAACCCTCACCCCGGGGACTCGCCCCAAGCAGGTTGTGACTGCCCCCCCACCCCCACTCCCTGCCCCTGGCTGGCTTTCTGGCTGTGCCCAGTGAAGGGGAATTGCACCCCAGGAAGGGACCATCCCAAGCATTCGGCAGCCTCCGGCAAATGACTGTCAGGCTGCTCTTGCTGGTAATTTCTCTCAGGATAAGCTACTGGCTTAGAAAATTGGGTTACACTGTTATTTTAATTTACACACAAGGGGTCCAAATGCAACCTCTGGCAAGCAAATTGCCTCCAGACCTTTGAGTCCCTTTAGAGGAGACCCGACCTACCCCTATTACCTAGGCATTGCACCAAGTGGCCTTCGGGTTTTAATCAACCTTTCCTCTCTCAGCAGGTTAGCGCCATGGCTGTGATTTGCGGAAGAATCTGGGAAATCGGCCCTAGTTTTGGAACTCACCTCCACGCTAAGAAGTGGGGAGATCTCACCAGAGAAGCAGGCTCTCGCTTCGCTAAGAGAAAGACACACAGACACCCTCCTACCAGCCCCTCTTGCACGCAGAGCTGGGAGTGGCTGGTGATGTGTCCTGTCAGATCCCCTGGGGGAGGCGGCAGGGCGCCTCGGAGCGGGGAGGCCAGGAGAGCAGGCTCGGTGGGTCTGTGGGGTGCAGCCACTAGGCATGCCCATCTCCCCTCCTCTGATTCAGGGCCTGAAGCTGCTCCCTCCCTCTCCTGCTCACCCCGCCCCGCTCACTTTGTAATTCCAACACTCACCAGACCCCTAAGGACGGTGCAAGTCTCCCCCACCCCCTGTGTCCTTAAAAAGAATCAAACCTAACCTGCGCTGTGTGCCCTGTCTCTGGCGGAAGTGGGGGCATTTGGAGAGGTGGGGTGGCGAGGAGAAAGCAAGGCCAGCGGGGTTCTGAGGACAGGGTGGTGGCAGTGGACTGCAGAACGCAGGCCCTTGGCTTAGCCCACCTCACTGCAGCGGGCGGCCGGCTGCGGGCTGATCCAGACGCCCTGCAGGTGAGGCCGCCTGGAGGTGGTGGGAGGGGCCTGTCAGGACATTTGTCTGGAGGCTGCATTGTTTCTGGGTTGTACTTGGGGTTTAAGTTTACCGGGAGGACAGGCGATGGGGCGATCTTGAGTGCCCTTTGGCCCGCCGCTGGGACCCCTGCATTCCTCGGTGGGACGGCGGTGAAGGCTGACAGCTTTGGGGATCGGTGACTTCCTCTGCAGACCTGGGCGGGGTGGGGGCGCTGACCCGCAGGGAAGGGGCTTTCGTTCCTGGGGTGCTGGGTGGGAGGGGTTGGGAAGGAGAGGCTTAAAGCGGCGCTGCAGCACCTGAGTTGCACGCCCAGCGGTGGCGTCCCTTCGGAGGCTCGCTGCTGCTCCCTGCAAAGAGGGAGGTGAACCCTGCCGGGCCCTGGGAGGAGGAGGGGTCTGGGGAGCAGGGGGTGCAGGCTGGAAGACACGGGGCAGCTGGGAGGTGCGGGGGAGCTGGACCCTTGGGAAGCAGCGTCTCCACTGCTGGGCTGGGGCCTTCTGCGGACCAGTCCCCTCAGCGCTGCGAGCCCGGCAGGGAGGGTTTTAACACCCTTGGGGGCTGCAGAGGGGTGAGGTGAGGGTCCAGAAAAGCGCGGGGAGCAAATATCTTGCCACCACCCAGCCCAACCCGTCCTCCTGTCTGTCGTGATTTCAAAACACAAGCCTCTTTCCCCGGCGAAGCAGCTGAGGACAGACGGGCGGGTCAGGACTGGTTCAGGGTGCCTGGAACCCGCGCTGGGGACCACCCACCTTTCACTCCAGGCCCAGCCCTTTCCAGTTCGGGGTCCCCGCGCCCGCTTCCTCAGGGGAGACCCCCTCCCCGCCAGGTTTTGCTTCTGGACAACAGCTGCGCCTCCCCCCAACCTCCCCAGGGACCTTCCCGGCGCCCTCACTGACCCGCTGCTTCGGGTCCGGGAAATTAAACTGCGAAAAGATAAACATTATTTCCAGTCGGCTTTGGGGGATTAAAGCTTGTAATAAAGCGCATTAGCTGGAGGTTTCTTCCACGGAGCTCTCAACCCCACCCCCTCCTGAGGGGCCAGGTAGACCCCTCCAGAGTGGGAGCAGGCTCGGCAGAGGGGCCCCCAGCATCCCTGGGGCGCTGCTTGCAGAAGGGAGACGGAAAGCCTGCGATCAGGTGACCGAGAAGAGCCTGAGGGCCAGGGGGTAGGAGAAGTGGAGTAGGAGGGCAGCCGCCCCTCGACCTTTTATATAGACCAGGGCCTGCTTTGGCCTCTCCCCACCCCCTAACCCAGACCCGAGCCTGCATCCCAGGGCTCACCCGAGTTCTGGGTCTAGTTGATGGCTGTGAGAAGGGAGGAACAGGACAGCTGACTGCCAGAAATTGGGGGTGCAGCCTCCATTCCATTCCCAGCGTGCTGTTCCCCTGCCCCTCTGCCTTCCCCAGCTGGGTGTCTGCACCAGGAGTGCAGGCCCAGGGCCTGAGATTATCCCAGCCGGGCCCTCCAGGCAAGCTGATCCCACCCTCTCTGCCCCTCCGAGCCCTCCTGCAAATCTCCCAACATAATCTCCCCCAATCACGTTTTGATTAAACACCAGGGCAAGGGGAGGGGGACACTGCCCCGTCCTCCTCAGAGCAGCCGCTGGTGGCCACGGACAGCAGGACAGTGAGCCCTGCAAAGGGGGTGTTCTCAGATTTGGAGATACTGGAGGAGCTGCACCTCCAAAATCCCTTGCTGGCTCAAGGGTCCCTTCTCAGGCCTGGCTAGGTGGGTAGGAGGAGACACTGAGCCAGGGAGCCTCCTTCTGTGACCCCTCCCCCCCAGGAGTCATTATGCAGGGGCTGGTCAGGCTCCCTAAATGGTCCTTATCACTTTGGGCTCTGAGATCCTGTGACCCTGGTAATGATGTAAGAGCTTCTGGATCCCTTCCCTCCAGCCGCATGCAAGCCATGTCCTTACACGCACTGACCCCTGTGTCATTACTGCCCCAGGGAGGATGACGTCACACTTTCTAGTAAACCCACTGAATGAATGAGGGAACCAAAGCTCAGGCAGGTTCAGAAACTGGGCCTCCCTGGTGGCACAAGGGGTTAAGCACCGTGCTATGAAGCACAAGTTCGATCCTCTGCCAGCCAGGGAGCAACCCACATGGCACAGCAGACCTCTGCAGACTCACCCGCTGCTCCCCTCATTAGTGTAGTTAGTAGATCTGCCTGTTCTGCTCCCCACTCTCTGGTTGATCCTCTCACCCCTGCACCTCTGGCCTGTACCCCAGCTCTTGTATGCATCAATAAATAAATCTTTAAAAAAGAAAAAAAGAAAGAAAAGAAAAGAAACTGGATGTCAGTTACCCGGCTAGCAAGCAGAGAAGTCAGGCGCTGAGCAGGACTGATTCTCAGCCGCGGAGCTCTGCTACATAGGCTTTTTATTATTTTAAGATGACTTTCTTTCATTAGGAATAGGAACCCAGGCTTCCGAGACTCCAGATGTCTACGGCATTATCTCATGCCCTCCTTCCTCCCCAGGAAGGCCCAAGAGAAAGCGCTTGTTTTCCACTCAGGGTCCAGCGCCCCTTTCTGGTGACTCTGGACCTGCCCCCACCTTTTCCACTGCCCCAAATTCCTTGGAACATGCCTCTCTGAGACCCCCTCTGGACTGAGAATCTCCAGTGTTTGGCAAAATGTACCCATGGTTTTCCAACGCTAGAATCAGCTCGGGGGTGGTGGGGAGCTGGGAGGTCCGCCTTTCTAACGAGCACCATGTGGGGTGTGATGGCCTCTGAGTCTTGGCTAACCCATGGCCAGATAACCCTGAGCTCAGCACCCGGGCCTAAGACGCCTGCTGTGGGCCAAGAGTCAGGCCTTGGGAACAGGTGCTGACATTCCTCCAGGATTTATTCTGAATTCACATTCAATCTTCTCATCTGGCTCAATGGGGTTCTTCCTTCCCCCCTCTACCCCTACCCCACCCCAGCCAGCAGCTCAAAACCTTGCTGTAATTTGGAGGGGAGGGAGCGATGGAGGAGGTGGCCTCTCCCAGAAGACAAGTTAGGATTCCAGAGTTGGCGTATCTTAGGGGTCCCCTGAATCTCGGGTGTAAGAGAACCCTGTCCCCCACCATGTCATGCAGTCAAGAATCTCCACATTTGGGGAAAGCCAGCACCACCGAGCAAACAGTGTATCAGGAGCAGAGAAAGAACTGAGGGGTGAGGAGATGAGCCCTCACCGGTCCTGACACAGTGGGTTGCTCCCTTGGCGTTAGAAAGCTCTTTCTCTTTGCAACAACAATCCGAGGAAAGTTCTTCGAGCCAAATTCCTTCTCCATGTAATTTCTGAATTCATCTCCCGAACCAGCTGCCTGGCTCTCCTCTGTGACTCCTTCTTTCTCCCACGCTCCATTCGGGATTTTTGCTTTGACACCAAGATCAGAGCAAGAATGCAGCCTAATGGGCATCTCCCAGCTCTAGGGCAGGGGATTTTCTTTGTTAAAGTTGGAGATGGGGGCAGGGAGTGGCTACGGAACCCGTGGGCCTGTGACCCAATATGCCTGCGATGCAGCGTCTCCTGGTAGATCAGGGCTGTGTTCAGCCACGAGTTGCCCCATGAGCACCAAATGGAGGCTTCTCTTTTGTGAATCAGAAGGTTGAGAAGAGGGTTGAAAAGCGGGTGCTTTGGGTCCCTCGGACGTTCAGCCTTTTACACCATGACCAACCACATTGCCAGGGGAGCACATGCTACTCCTCGGTGAATTCATCTGTGTTAACGCCAAGGGGGATATTATTTATGAGATCATGGGGAACTGATGTCTTCCCTCATTGCCTGGGACTGTCTCCAAATTCCAACTTGGCTGCATTTAAATCTTAGGGAACCTGCTGGAACAATGATGCCAAGGGTGATAACGATAATGAGTCTAGAGCAGTGGTTCTCACCACTAGTGGTGCATAAATTCAGCCAGGGAGGTGTTTTGTGTTGTTTTGTTTTGCTTTGTTTTGAGTTTTAGATACAATCTCCAGGGGTGGAGCCCAGCAGTGTTGTCTAAAGTTTCCAAGTGATTCCAATATGCAGCCAAAGTTGAAAACCAGCAAAGTCTGAACAAGCTGTTTCTCTTTCCAGTTCTAGCATTTTCTAGAGAGTAGACCTGGCACACAGAAAGTCTAGAGGCCTATGGTTTTTCCTTGAATCTATGGGTTTCATGTTTGCCCCATGGCAAAATTAAATATTCTTCTGCCCCATGATTTATGAAGACATCCAAAGATGGATGTAATTCTGGACATCAGAGGCCAGGGTGAAGCAACAGGAGGCCTCCTTGAGTCCTGCCCATCCCAGCTGCCTGAACAGAATGTGGGATTGCAGAGGGAAAATGCACCCCCCCAGGAAATCCTAGACACATGTGCCAAGTTACCCCTGGGTGGCTCAGAGGTGGTTCTGAGCAGGTGGAGAGGCCCTGTGCAGTGTTTCTGGGTGCTCCTGCTCTATAGCACAGAGGAAAATCACCCCCAGGCTTAGTGAATCAAAACAACCACTGTCACTGGTTTTGCTCATGGATTTGCAATGTGGGCGGGCTTGGCGGAGTGGCTTGTTCCTGCTCCCTGTGGCATTAGAAGAAGCGCCTGAAATGGAGTTGGAGAAGGTGTTTCCAAGAAGGATCTGGGGTTTCAGTCCCTGCAGAGGTGTCCAGCCTCTCCATCAGCTGCTTGGAGTTCCTGACTGGGCATAAGTCACAGGTTTCCCATCCCTGAGCTTCAGAAGTCTCAGAACATCACTTCCGCTGTGTTCTATTGGCAAGAAGTCACTGAAACTTGTCCATAGCAAGAGGAGGGGAAATCAACTCTACCAATTGATGGGGGAGTTGCAAAGCATCTGGAACCATCTTTATTGGAATTGGGAACCCTGGGGTGAGGAGACAGTTGTGAATGCACTTCCAGACTTGGGAGTGGACATGCAGACTTGGGGTTCGGTCTTAGCCAGCTTGGGCTGTTGGCTGGGGGCCCTTATGAGCTCATTTGACCTTTATTACCTCCTCAAAGCCCTATCTCCAAACCCCCAAAGTCCCACTGGGGGTTAGGGATTCAACACATGAATGCTGTAGGGCTATGAACCACCAGTACGTAGTGAATCCCAATCAAGGACCCACCACAGACAAGGTGACTTAGGAAGCAGGTAACAGGGAAGAGGGTGCTGATTGGCCAAAGATCTAGTCACAGAGGTTCAGGCATTGGGCAGTCCACCCTGTCCTCCTAATCAGTGCCTCGGCCTGGAAATCAGCATTTATAGCCTTGATGTGAAAGAAGACAGTGATATTGAGTGCCTGATATTTCCTATCATTTCCTAACAACTCTTCACTCCATAAAAAAGGGAACTGCATCTCAAGTAAGGGAAGCCCCTTATTAAGGTCCAATATCTAAGAAGTTGCAGAGTTGGGGCTCAAATCCAGCTCTGTACAACCCCAAAGCCTATGCCAAGGCAGAAGGAGGCCAAGTTGCATCCATTCCAAGTTCCAACTGTGTAGCAAGGTGGCGAGACTCCCTGCGTTTGAATCCCAGCTCTGCCATCTACTAGCTGTGCAGCCTCAGGCCAGTGGCAGAGCCTCTCTGATCCTCAGTCTTCCCAGCTCTAAAATGGGAATAAGAATCGTTCCTGCCTCACAGGACAGTTGTGAGGGTTAAATGGTGCCTAGCCCAGGTAAGCATTACACAGACTGTCAGCTGTCCCTGCTCTGTGCATCTCCAGGGAGATCAGGAGCCACCGTTTGTCCCCACCCCCAGCAGCCCCTCCTGCCCGTCTCATTATGCCAAGTCATTGTCGCAGCTCTTACCTAGAGCAAAGACATGGGGTCATTCACTTGGGTGTCCATTTAGGGAGAAACCTCACCAAGCAGATTTTATGAATTGCTCATACTTCCCCTTATCAAGATTGATGGCACAATTGCCCACGGTCAGTCCTTCTGTGGTCGCAGCTAATGACTTCAACCCTCAACGCGTTTCCTCTGCATTTGCTTCAGAAAATCATTCTGAACAGCAAGACTGCCTTAATAGCCACTTGGTGCTAATGATGCCTTTTAAGTGCATAAAGAGAATCTCTAAGTACCAACTGGGAGGCCCATCGACTGGTGACAACAGCTATTGACATTGACACTGCAGGACAAGGTCAGGAAGCCACGGACCACGAGGAACATGCCTGGGCCTAACAGCGAGGAATTTTTTGGTACATTGGAGAACTTCTTTTTCTCTATTGCTCCTCAAATGCACCCACTCGCGCCATTTGCTGAAGCCGACTATGTATACTTCTGCTGTACTTTGCTGCCACCTTCGAGATGCAGCCGAACTTAGGGTAGCTTGACTTGCAATTTTTCTTTATGTGGATTCATTTTTGCAGTTCGAGATCACTGTTTTTGTACTCCTGCCACTTCTCATGTCCACCCGCCCCCTCTTGTGTGGCCACTGTGGCACACTCAGCTGGTGAGTAGGCAGCTTGCTGGAGCCACTAAGAAAGTGGGTGCAGGCAGAGCAAGCTGGGTTCATTCTCCAGCCCCATCACTCAGTCCCTGGGCTTCACCTCTTGAAACTCAACTTCTTCATAAATAAGATGAGATGAAGCTAGAACTCAGCTCTCCAGGGGATGGTGAGGATGAACTCGGCTGATGCATGCTGAGTGTTTCCTTCAGGCGCTGCACCTGTGCTCAGTGACCTGGGCTGTTGCTGTGTTAACTTGCTCCGTGACAGTCGGGCGCTCCGAGGAAGTGACAGAGATCCCAGCCGTTGATGTCCTTGCCGTGCGTGACAGTCTACGCTCCGAGTTTCTCGTGTGTCACCTTGCTAGGGTCCCAATTGTGTGAGCGAAGGGCCTCTTTGTAGGCACTGGAATCTCGGCGTGTGGTGTCCCTCTCAGACAGAACCATTGTTTCCCTACCACACTTTTCTCCTTGGCAACTGACCTCCACCCAGAATTTGTTCCTTCTCACCGTCAGCTATTATCTCCACAGGAAGTGCCTTCTCCCAGGATCCTGACCGAGATCGTAACAGGCGCCATCTTGCCTGGCCCTTGGCCGCTCATCCCATTACTTCCCAGAAATGGCACGTTCCAACTTTCCAGCAACCAAATTGGTTTTTGGCCATGTTTCCTGCTCAAGTTTTTGTTGGAGGTGTTTGGGGTTGAGACCTCAGATGTGAGGTTGGGACAGAGCAGTGGGCCAGGCTGCCTTCAGGGAGGGGGTTCCTGAGGGTTGGCCAGGACCAAGGGAGGTACTGCCGAAGGGTGAGCTGCGCATTTTTAGAGAGAAAGAAGCGAGGGGAAGGAATATGTGGGAGAAGCAAAAAGAAGCCTGATGGGGGTGAGGAAGTGGAGTGAGGACATGAGGATGAATGGGCAGTGCGGATGCTGGCTGAGGCACTGTGGCCGGGTGGTGAGGAGTGAGTTGTAAGGCCCCTAAGGCTGGATACCCAGTAGACTCTCCTTAGCTGTCATGTGGCTTATTCAACACACAAGGCAGAAGCGAGTGGGGCTATTATTATACTTTTTTTTAAATTTTTTTTAAATATTGTTACACTTTTAACAAAACTGAATTCCTAAACATACGCTCTAACTGAAGTGCAGCGACTTGGGATCCAAAGGCCAGGACTATCCCTTTGACTGTGAGCACAGGACGCAGGGACCCGGGTGTGGAGCTTGCCTGAGGCTTCTGTTCATCTCATCCGCAGCCCCACCCTCTAACAGTGACATCTGACATATGACACCCATGAGTTTCAGTTGACCCCTTTGTCGGGTGCCATTAAATGGCCTGAAGTTAAAATGTTAATTAGCATTAATCATTTTTTATGAAATGGCTTTGCCAAGCCATAAATTCAGCAGAGTGGAGCTGGCCGCTTAGGGAATACAGATCCACAAAGGAAGCACTGGATGTTTCTACAGGGGCGAGTTTCAAAGAGAAAAGGGAGAGTCGACAGGTGGGATAGGAACAACTTCTGATAAAAAATAAATTAACTAAGATTGCAGGATGAAGTTAATTGGGGAGCAGGTCACGTCCTCATTTTGTTTCTTTCTTCCCTACACCAAACTCAGAGACAAATGTGCGGTAGATGCCCCCACCCCAAAAAAGAATATTGAGCAGTGAATGACTGGAGGAGAGAGGAAGGCCAGGAAAGGAAAAGATGGAAGGGGAAGAAGATTTAGAGAAAGTTAGAAACTGCATCAAAGGCCAATGAATGGCAAAACCCCACATTTCCGCCTTTGGATTCAACCTCGGTGTTTATATGAATGATGATTTATTTTTGGCCATATATGCACAAGTGTGATTACATGTCTCATTCCTTTCTTAATCAAGAAAAGAGCAAGAATTATTATTTTTTTTTCCAAGTAGGTGTCTCCAGGTAAATTCAGAAGGACCTCCTTCTAGGGGTATAAGGCTTCCGCTTTGCAGAATGAGTGAGTTCTAGAGGTGAGCAGAATAACTCAGTGCCCACAGCGAACACTGCATTGCGTCGGAGGGCAGATCTCCTATTTAATGTCCTCACAGGAAACACAGCAAAAAGCAAGCAAGCCGACAAATAAACAACCCAAAGGGGGACAAGGAAGCTTTGAGAGCTGAAGAAGGTTGTTTCCTTGACATGACCACGATTTCATAGGCAAATGTTTATCTCCAGACGCATCAAATCAGATGCATGAAATACATACAGACTTTGTACACCAATGATGCCTCGATAAAGCTGCTAAGATAATCATTTCATCGGCACAAGTATGCATAGAAAAGGAGCTCATAAGGTCAGGTGCCAAAATGAGCACAGCGGTTGCCTCTGGAAGATGAAATGAATATTTTAATTTTTCTTATTTATACATTTTTCTGTTGCCAAAGGTTCTGCAAGATTTTACTTCTAATGGAAAGCACCTACTATCTATGTGGATAATAAAAGATGGTGAGACAGGACTGCTGTGCTCATAGGGCTGTCCCGCTCAGGTAGGTGATAGGTGAGGACCCATATATATTGGGGTTCATTTGTTTGACTCGGGAAGTGTGCACTAGCAGGTAGGTGCTGGCTCCCTGTTGGGCAATCAGATGGTGGAGTCGCCTGAAGACGTCCTGGAATCATCCCTGAAGGCAAGAATTCTTTCCCTGGGATCCACAGGTGAGCTTCAGGGGTTCTCTGACACACCCCCAGAACAACTGGCTAACAGTAAACAGTGTCCTATCAAGAGGGCACCCCTATTTCTCATCAGATCATAAAGAGGGCCCAGTGACCCCCCTAAAAGGCCTTCTTCTTTAGACTAGAGAGTGAATGCCATTATTAGTAAAAGTTTTTCAATGGTGCACCCCAAATACGGGCATGTTTGCCTGTATGTAAGTTGCGTGCATATGCTGTGGTGCACATTTATATGTACGTAGACACAAAATTAGCATTTAAACAAATTAGAAAGTAAGTGCCATTTCTCGTATTTTCATCTCATGTCCTGAAGGATCATATCCACCCCTGCCCCTGGGGAAAGCACTGGTCATTCTTGAAGAAAACCACATCTAGAATCAACGAGGACCTGCCCCTGCTCCCTCCCCAGTCAAACTAGCACCCACCGTGGTTGGCTGGTCCTATGAGCAAGGACTAAGAACTCTGGGGTCAGTTGCGACACCGATAAAATGCAGAAAGTCTGTGGAACCCCTGACAGCATCCCGAAGGTACCAAGATTCCCTCTGCCTGCCTGGGGCTTCCGGGCTGAAGGTCACGCACCCCTACGTGGCAACTCAGCCTCAGCTTCTATTCAAATGGCAGCAGTTGTAGTTTGGGGGTTTCATCTACTCAAACAGATGGGGGTGACAGCCTGGATGATCACCCAGAGTGCATTTACCTCAACTCCACCCTGCAGCGAGCTTGGCCCTCACCTCTGGCAGGTGCCAGATCTCTGTTCTCTGACCTCTTTGGGGCCAGTTCCGCCTCTGCCTGCTCAACTCGTCACTACTAAACGGAAATGCACAGAGAAGTGACCAGACCAGGTGCTTGTGGCCCCATCTCTGCTTCAGGCCTCTCTGGGGTCAATGTTTTATGACCCTGGATTCTGGTAATCACACCCTTAGGAAGCAGCAGAGCAGTCAAAATCTAGCTGATGCCCTCGTTTATTTGTATGCCGTGTGTGTTTGTGTGTGTGTGTGGGTGTGTGTGTGTGTGTGGTACAAATTTCAATCGCCCCTGTGCCCTTTCATATAGGTATTCATGCCCGCCCTTATAATGACAAAGCTCTTTTAACTTCAAGGTCCTGTTGGGTCCCTCGCCAACCATAGGGTGTAGGCATTGGCATATGTGGCAGATGCTGGGGGTGCTGCCGTTCTGTGGGCAGCTCTCAACAGACAAGGTCAAGTCCCTCTGCAGGGAACCTGCTTCCAAACACTCTTCTCTTAGGAGTTACAAAGACTGGGCTACTTTGCATTCCTCTGGAACAACTCTAGAAGTTCATCCCAGCAGCCTGAAGGAAACAACTAGACCTTCATTTCAACCCCATGACAATTCAGCTTCCCCTCTGCCCAACCCTGCTTCCTCCACCCCGTCACAGGTCAAGAGAATGCCTTGATAGGCCTCAGAGGCGCAGGGTTGGCTTCCTGGGCACCGCCCAAATCAGCTTGCTGTTCCCTAAGTGAGTAAGCTGAGGATCTGGAGTGAAGTGACTCACTGGAGCTTCCAGAGGGACGTTCACCAGCTTGATGCGTGGCCTTCTAAGCTTTTTCTTTGCGTGCTGCTTTCATAAAGGGCATCGCGCCCGCCCCCAAGCGCACACTGTTGTTCATGAGCAGAAATGCAGCCCCTTCGTACATACTGACCAGCGATCAAAGCATGACTTTCTCATTTTGCATTTGCTCTTTCTCTGTTGATGGACATTTAGATGCTATTTTTCCATTTCCTCCCCAAATTTAATCTTTGCCAACACTACTGAAATGAACATATTAGTACATGACTCCTAGGCACATTGGCCAGTGCGCTTATTGGAGTGGGATTTGAAAAGTCGAACAGCTGGGTCACGAGGATGTGCTTTCACATTTTGTTTGTTTGTTTGTTCTTTATTTTCTTTTTTAATTGTATATATTTTTTACATCATTTTTCATTTTTGCACAATGTATGCATTTTCCTCTTGGTTATATTCCCCATGCAATTCCCACCCCCCCTTATTTTGACTCTAATCCCTCCCCCCACAGACTGTGTTTCTGGTTTATAGTTGCTTGTTGATTTTGATTTTTACTTTATTATAATTAGTCTTTTTCCTGGTCCCTTATTTAAGTTTTCTAAATTCCTGCTATAAGTGAGACCATCCGGTATTTTTCTTTTTCTTTCTGGCTTATTAATTCAAAAGGGCACCTGCACCCCTATGTTTATAGCAGCACTGTTTACAATGGCTCAGCTATGGAAACAACCCAAAAGCCCAAAAACAGATGACTGGATCAAGAAGATGTGGTACATACACAGAATGGAATATTACTCAGCAATCAAAAAGATAAACGTATGCCATTTGCAGCAACATGGATGGAGTTGGAAGGGATCATGCTCAGCGAAATATGCTTTCACATTGTTAATAGATGAGGTTACCCCCTAAAGTGGCCATGTATGATGCTACCTACATCCCATACTCGGCTGAAACTGCCTATCAACAGTCGGCCCACTCGTGGGTGTGCAGTGGCATCTTGTTGTTTTGACTTAATTCCTCACTAGTTTCCTTTTTTGTGACTTACCTGTCCATGTCCTTTGTCCATCTTTCTCCCAGCTGCATTTCTTCTCTCACTGATTTGCGAAGTCTTTTTAGAGTCTTCATGCTAATCCTCTGTTTGATAAGTTGTAAATGTTTCTCTTCACCCTGGGGGGCATCTTTGAACTGCTTTTATCATGTCACCTTCTTCAGAGAGACAGTGAGACTGAGCCAGATACCAGGAAACATGGATTTAAGTACAGGCATTTGTTCCCTACACGGACAGCTGGTTATGAACCGTGTCCCGGATGCTGTGCGCTGCGTCAGGCACCGTGAGCAAAACAGAGATGCAGTGAATGTGGAGGTAAGGGAGGGAGAGGGAAGAGCTCCAAAGACAACATTTGGGAATGTAGAGGAGATATGTTTTCCACCCATGAGGGCAAAGGATGTTTGAAAAGGCAACCTAAGCTCAGAGATTGCAAATACTTATTAGGATGTGTTTCTTTTTTTAAGATTTATTTATTCATGCATACAAGAGCTGGGGTGCAGGCCAGAGGTGCGGGGGGAGGGTGAGAGGATCCACCAGAGACAAAGTGGGGAGCAGAACCGGTAGATCCACTGAAACACAATGCTGAGGGGAGCAGCGGGGAGACAGGAGAGGTCTGCTGCGCCAGGTGGGTATCTCCCTGGCTGGGGATCAAACTCATATTGCAGTGGCTGCCAATAGTGCTGAGACTTAACCCCTTGCAGCACCAAGGAAGTCCTAGGATGTGTTTATATAGTGGTTTGGAGGCCCGTAAAGATGGCATTGAAGTTCTCATGAAGCCAGCCCCTACTCTGGACATAATGCATCCTAATATGTCCAATAAAGTCAAATTTTCTTCTAGCAAAGAAATCATTTCTTTGGTTGCACATTGGATGATGAGACAAAATTTTACTACTGGGGGCCACAGTGTAAGAAAAATATGCATCTTTAAACTCTAACCTCTGACCAAGGCAAGCTGATGAGGCTGGGAGTGACACTCAGGATGGGATCCAGCTCCGTCTCCACTTACTCATCACTGAGGAAGTGAGAGGAGTCAGCGGAAGAGGAGCCACAGTTTCGCAGCGTAGAGGTCAGGAGGGAAAAAAAAAGCCCAGATGAGAAACTCAAGCCATATTAGATGAGACTTTCAACTGCTTGGGAATAGATGACTGCTTCTTATTTTTAAAAGCCTGACTTCATTAAGGTGATGGTATCCAGTACACTGAGGTGCCTTTTTTGGTCCCTAAGGAGAAAATGAAAGCAGGGTAAAGTTTTTTGAGGCAGCCCCAAGAGGTTCTGCGTTGAGTACCAGTGACATGCAATGAACTGTTTGTCTTTGTCAATATCCTGAATACTGAAAACTATAATGCAACTGTGCCGACCTTTTTATCACCAGCCACTCCCCCCTGCTCTAAAGAATAATAGCTAATTGGAATCCTAGTGCAGGAACAGCCATAAAAGCAAGGCTCTTAGCTGAGATTGAGGAAAAGTACCACTTTAGCAATTACATTTCCTTTACCTGTCAAAGAAAGGGATCTCTGGCCAAAGACTCCGTCCTTGGCAGGTGTGGGCAAAATTACAGAAATGGAATCTAAGCTGATGGCTCAGCTGAAAGCTCAGTGCGACCTCTAGTCCACATTAGCCCAGCGCTGACTTCACACTGTGCACTCTGCAATGTGTTTTCACACATGTTTTCTCATTGACCCTCAAAACCGACCTGTGTGAGTGGGAATTGTTATCTCTCTTCCCTGGTTAGACGAACTGAAGTTAAGGAGATTCTCAAAGCTAACATCTTAAGTGGTAATGCCCCAGAAGCTAAGTTTAAAGCACTAGATTTGGAAACAAATGGTTTATTCACAAGATGTCCCTAAGAAATACCAGTGTGACAGGACCTCTCTGGTGGTGCAAGGGGTTAAGTCTCAGCACTATGAAGCTGTCTGCAGCCTCTGCAGCATGAGTTCCAGCCGAGCCCCGGCCAGGGAGCTGACCCACATGGTGCAGCAGACCTCTCCTGTCTCGCCCGCTGCTCCCCTCAGCAGTGTATTTTGTCAGTCTGCCTGTTCTGCTCCCCACTCTGTCTCTGGTGAATCCTCTCAGCCCCCTGCACCTCTGGCCTGCACCCCAGCTCTTGTATGCATACATACATACATACATACATACATACATACATACATACACAAATAAATAAAAATACCAGTGTGAGGATGAAGAAGTGAGGCAGGGCAGGCAGAGAAGGCAATTCAAATGGCATCAACAGATAAGTTACCCCTGTGGGGAACTGGGGCTCAATTCCCTTGGAAGCCACTGGACACAGGTATAAAACATGACTTTGAGGTGCCCCACTTAAGGGCAAGGAAACTGGGGTGTGAAACTCCATTTCCAACTTGTCCTTGATTCTCAGCTGCTCCCAGGAGTCTTAGTGGCCACGATCAAGTGCTGCCAACTTTCAGGCAAGAGAAAGCCCCTCAGAGTAGAGCTACTTAGTGTGTCCAGAAAGGTGGACACCAAGGAGCCGGGTGCTGGGCCTTCCGCTAATAGAGCCACTACCAGGTATTCATGCCCAGCTGCCCACTGGCAGCATGCCCAGCCCCTCTGTCTTCCCCCTCTGCCCAGCAGAGACAATTCTTTAGTCTCCTCGCAGCTAGGGGTGGCTTTGTTTGGCCAATGTGTATAACAGAACACTCCCTGGGGGCTTCTGGAAAGAGTTTTCTTTTCCTATAAAAGGAAAGAGCTACAAAGGAGACTTCTCAACCCCTGGCCTCCTTCTTAGGGGAGGTCACATGAGGTCATGGGTCCTGCAGGAGTGTCACCAACCATAACTCTGACCCCAACTGTGACCCCCAACATCATTTATATTCTGAACCAATACTGCCCCAATACCATTGATATTCTGAACTTCCAGCCTTAATGGGATGGTGATGAATATCCTTGTGGTTTAGGCACTGTGAGTTGGTTTTTCTGTTACTTGCAGCTGAATGCATTCCTAACTGCCACAAAATCTGTTTTTGTCTCTGACCACAAAGCTTATACATCATTGTCCATTTCCTGTTCTTCATTCTGCAAAGTGCTGGAACATAGAAAGACAGTTTTTGCCAGACATTTTTAAATAATCAGAATTAAGGGTGGCAGCTAAAATAGCTGCAAACAAATGCTGAAACAAACAAAAGTGTAAACAAACCCTTGCCAGCAAACAGTAAAGAGTTGATTATTTAAGGAATGAGTTTTCATAGATAAGGAATATATTATTACATTAAGGAATATTCCAATCCTTAGAATGACAAGGAGTTATTGGAATGACTTGGAATGATAGAGAGATCTGGGCTTAACCTGGGATTGTACAGAAGCTCAATCAAGCACAGACACACACTCTTGGGTGAGTCATTTGTCCAGTCTAAGCTGGAGCTCACACCCAGGGAAATGAAAGGGTGACAAGAGCTACCTCTGACACGCTGAAATTCTAATGCACCAATTTACCTGGATTTTGAGGTCTGATTCTTATACCTTTGTTTTTCTCAAAACCAAGCACATCTGTCATGAGAAGTTGCAATCAACGACATCAAATACCACTTCTTAATCTCTTCCAAATACTAGCTGGGAAATGGTTCTAGAGACAAAAAATAAATCAGCCATGCCAGAAATGGCAACCATAGATTTTAAAGTCTTTGGGTACTACAAAAGCAAGCAGCATGTTAATATGACATTTACAAATCACCCCCAACCACTCTCTAATTAACTTATTGTGTGCCTTCTCTAAACTAACATACACAGAATTAAAGGAGAAACACTTATTTGTTCTGTTGCTAAGGAACCAATACAATTTGCATAGTGAAAAATCATGAGTATATTTAAGCTAAAACCCTATCTATTTATAACAGCCAGATTTAAAAGTCTCAGCATTTCTTATTTTCTCATTTCTTTATTTTTTTAACTTGTTTCTTAAGTAAGCAGCCCAAAGCAGCAGTGTGGCTATACCTAATACATAATATTAGCTAGAAGTACTATAGCACTTTCTGTTACTAAGCCTCCCATAGTCTCTTGCAGAGACTAACCTGAGAAGATCAGAATCATACAATGTGGGAAGACAAGGTGACAGATCAGCAAATATCTGGATTCCAAAGATTTTAGGTTGGCTGAGATCTTTACAAAAGCTGGATAAAGATGACTATGTCTTTCCCTTCACTTTTCTAAACTCATCCATCTGTATTTCTCTGGGATGATGGAAGGAGCACTGGATTTGGAGTCAGAAAACCTGGGTTTGAGGTCTAAGACTTTACCCTTAAAAGTCTTAGCTGGGTGTTAGCTGGGTAACAAGGGACAAGCAGCAGCAGCATGTCTTGGAGCCTCAGTTTGCTCACCTGTAAAATTATAAAAGGGGATGAAAGTGGAGATGGCTCAGGAACAACTTTTCAAATACACAGGTAATTTTTTCCCAATTTGATTGAGGAATAGTTAGCAAATAAAACTGTGATATTTAAAGTATCCAATATGATGGTTTGTTATATGTACCTATTCCAAAAGGATCCCCCCTCCCCGCTCATGAGTTAAATAACACATGCATCAAAAAGATGATGCTTAAAATTTCATTTCATTGAGTTTTTGGGGAACAACTTGGCATACCAATCTAAATTCATATGGAAAAAAATCTTGTTGATAGCCAGGGAAATTCTGAAAATAAAAAATATTTAAGAGAACTAGTGCTATGAGATATTAAAACATGTGCTAAAGCTGCAGTAATTAAAACAGTATGGTCCCAGTGCAGAACATGGGTTGCCAGGCAGATCAATAAAAGAGAATTAAAAGAGGGCCTCCCCGGTGGCGCAGCGGTTGAGCACTGGGTTGCGAAGCTGCCCGCAGCCTCTGTGGCGCCGGTTCGATCCCCGGCTGCTCCCCGGCCACTGGAGGAGGGTCCCACATGGCGCGCAGACCTCTCCTGCCGCCCGCTGCTCCCCTCAGCAGTGTACTTCGGTCCTTCTGCCTGCTCTGCTCCCCGCTCTGGCTCTGGTGAATTCTCTCACCCTCCCGCGCTTCTGACTGTACCCAGTGCATGTATAAACAAAACAAACAAACAAATAAATAAATAAATAAAAGCATGCCTCTATAAAAAAAAAAAAAAAAAAAAGAGAATTAAAAGAACTGAAATTAAATAGATGTGGGGTTCTTACATGTAAAAAAAGTGGCATTACAAACTGATTGAGAAGTTTTCACTTAATAAATGGAGCTGAGAAAACTGGCTAAATATTTGGAAAAAAATGAAATCATTAATTATTATTAATTAATTAATCATCAATACAATTTTTAAAACCATTAGACTATTACACTTGATTTTTAAATATTATTTTCTCACTTGAAAGTTTATATAATTTAGTTTTTAATCA